GACCCTCTAGGGAAAATACTGTATAGTGTCAAAACCTGTGGCAGTGTTGAGGACTTATAAGAAGGACCCTAAACTGTCAAGTACAGAGAACCCAAGCAGCAGCATTCCTGCCTGTGTGAAATCCTGGTGATCCTCTATGTAAAACAGTGAATACAAGACTGCTTGATTTCCCCATGGTGGGATTGAGAAGACCATATCTAGGAACCTGGTTTGTAAATAAAGCCTAGAAAGAAAAGCAGGGAGTAAGGAAAGAGGGTGATCTAATGTAAGTTGTGGATGCCCCATCCCTGGAAGTATTCAAGGCCAGGTTGGATGGGGCTTGCAGCAGCTGGGTCTAGTGGAAGGTGTCCCTGCCTATGGCAGGGTGGTTGGAAATAGATGATCTTTAATGTCCCTTCCAACCCAAGTCATTCTAGGATATCACAAATTTGGAGAGACATTGATAAATCTATTTTTATGCCAATGCCATGGCAGTTTGTAACTTTGCTCTACTACTTTAATTCCTGGAGAAGAAAGATATATGTGGTTTTACACTCAGGCTTTTAAGTAAAGTTTCAAAAGAGAAGCATAATCCATTGAAAAGGGAAGTGGTATCTTACATAAGTTTGGAAACTTGCTCTCAGGGAATGTGATTTCAGAGCCCAGAAATCTAGCAGATGTTATTACTATTTCTGTTTCACAGGTCAGTGCTTTTGGTTTTTGTGCTCTGAGAAATGCCTACAGCTGCAAGCCTGTCTTTTGCGTTATAAGAACAAGTCAATTCTGTATCTTATTCTTAATTTGTACATGTGATTATTTTTTTCTGGTGAAATGAGGATACTGTGGGACATCTAAAAAATTTAAATTCTCTAGAAACCAACAGTCTTGTTGGCAGACTGTGTCGTCTTCTTATTTCCATGAAGAGCAAGAATGGATAATTTTACAGTGAATTTTGTTCTTGATATCGAAGCTGGTGGCATTAAACACGACAAACGATCCAACCCCTCAGACTTAACCGCAATAAAAGAAAAAAATGTCAGTATTGCAACCTAATTTTTTAATGCCTCTGTTGATAATAAGGTTCATATCAATGATGTAGTAGCTGTATTACATGCATTAACTGTTGGTTTCAGATGCTTACGTGGAAAAAAGTTGCTAACTCTCAGTGAACAAAATTTTCAAGTATCTACTTCCTTTCCACCTCGTCTGTGTTGCTGCTGATTAGTTACTGTATCTGAGAAAGTTGTCTTTAGTTTCCCTCAGCATCCAATAGCCAAACCAAAAAAAGGCAGTATTTTTGTCCCTCTGCTCAGATGAATAATTCATTGCCCTTCATTTTCTGTGTAAAGTGAATTTGAACATTTTCTTTTGTAAAGATGATTTACAAGAGGTCATGGATGCACAGAAATTAATTTGCTGCCTTCAGGCATGACATAATCTTTCTACTGAGAGAGAAGTAACAGTTTATTTCTGTTAAAGTTTGGTTAAAGAATTTACTATATCTAGTGTTAGAGGGATGGTATTCTTTAATTGAAGTCGAAGTTTGGCAGATTTTCAGTGCTGTTCTGCTGCTATTCTCCTCAGCTCAGTTGAACAATGGGTTGGAGAGATGCTGGCAGTGTTGCTTGGTTACAATTCATCAGCGTGAATCAGTGCTTCACGCAGCTCCTTCTGTGGCTGAACAACCGGGAGACTTCTCGGCACTGTGTTCCTGATGTGTGTGGAGATGTGACCGGATTATGTAAGATCTCAGTTACTGTGATACTACACTTCTGCAGTGAGATTTGTACAGGAGCGTTTGACTTCCAGTGGTTGAAGTCAGGCAATTTAGAATTCTCCGTTTTGCATGACTTTACAAAAATAGAGCTGAATAAAGCAAATTTTTAAAAATGTGTTTTGTTGCAAGGTGTGTTTGACAGGTTTGGTACTCTGGCATCCTTCGTATTCATTAGGAAGATTAAATCCTTTATTAAGTATCTTCCCCTGGAATAGACACACTTTGCTGAAACCTGCCTGTGGGCAAAGGGAAACATGTAAGGGGCACTGCCACCTTCCTCTTACTCATTGCATTTGACCAGATCTTAAGCTGGCATTATATGAAGCCAATGGAGTTATGCCAGTTTAGACAACAGGAAGATGTGACAGGTTATTTTTAACACCATGGAATGGATTTCCTGTACCCCACCCTGATCCATTTTACTACTTACCCATTTTTGCTGATCAAGACATGATCAGAGGAAATGTTCAGAGAGTGGAAAGGTGCCCAGTTTGGGCTCTCCCTGGAGTAGGCATTTCCAACAGCTGTCACCATCTACATCCTTTTTTTAACTTTTATATAAAACTGCTTTACTGTGTTGCAGTTCTCATTGTTTAATTGTCTATCACTCTGATCCATGTACCATTCGCACCCGCTTTTCTGCACAGAAGTTTAAATCAATGGCCCTACAGTAGCTTTGCCAAGAGTGTCAATGACAAATCACTGACTAAGCCATTTGCTCATCTGTGGCCAGGAGATCACTGGATTCTGGCACCTACCTGAAGCATCTCCCATGGCTCTCTTTCCGGTCTTCACGATTGCCCTTCAGTCTGTGTTCAGAAAAATCTGAAGTATTTTTCTCATCTTCCTTCTCCCCTTTCACATCTAAGTTCTTGCCCCTGAGAGGTTTTCCATCTTCCTCTTTCTTAGGCTCAGCAATTCTCCATTTCTTCTCAAATCTACCATACTTAATTTCTTTTTGTCTCTATTAAGGACCTTGTTATTAAAAGCTTATATTGGCTGTACCTTTCATTTTGCCAAGCTTCCTCTGTTTTCTCTACTTTCTGCTATTTAGTGTCAGCTTGTTGCATTGCTGTACATTAGGGCCATTTGGAAGAATTTGTAGGAAAAGATGCACTAAAGTACCAAAAAGCAGAATCTATAGTAAAAAAATTAATCTAGTGCTATCTAAAATACAAATATTTCTATGAGCAGATTCTCTGCATTGTTTTGCCTTCTGGTGATGATATCTGTAAGATGGCCTTTCGTCAGAAAATTGTTTCTGGACTACTTAAAAATCAGTTGCACTGCACAGAGCTGTGATGTCCAATTTGCGCTCAGTGTTGTTACATGATCAGCTTTTCTTTAGCAGCAGGTGAATATATATTTAACATCTTAAAATTTCAGTTTGTTTCCTCCCAATGTCTCTTGGTTATCTATACGTTTTTGGTTTTTTTTTTTTTTATTGTGACTCTATTTAAAGCCTGAATTAATTCAGTTTTGCTGAATTCAGGTCATGACATCCGTAACTATTTTGTCTGACAATTTAAGTGCTTTTGGGATAGGACTTAACACTGAGCTCCTCCTGTTTCTGCAATAAAATGAGAGAAGGGAAATGAACAAAAGAACTATAATTTTCCTATTAATGTGATGGGTTTTGGCACTTGTTCAGAAAGGTACTTGGAGCACCTTAATACTCATCTGCTTTTGGACAGTTATAATTGCTGCAGGGATAGACTGATTCCCTGGGTAAATATGGACATTTATGGGGGAGGGAGAGATTTCAAGCATAGCTAAGAGACTGCTTTCTGACCAGGAGCCTGTGCTGAACACACTGAACCTGGCTATATCAAAGGACAGTCTTTTTTGGGGCCACACTACGTGCATTAGGAGTAAGCATTAGATGTGCCATTGTATAGCTGAGCTGGGCTGGCATTCTGCAAAGACACTTGTGTGCATTTCCTTTCCATTAAAGCATTGCTTTGTTTCTACCAGATAAATGTTATTGTGGAGTAATTCCCTTTTAAGGTCATAGCTGCACTTCTCAAGACATGACAGGCCAGTCTTCCTATGCCTGAGACCCCTCTTTAAAAGAGCTTTTGCCCATGTGGTTGCTGCGTGGCAGGTTTACCCACTGCAAATCTCTCCTGCAGAGAGTGTGCCCTACAAAGGTGATAGGGGAGCTACTGCCCTGGCTGAGCTGCACGTCCTCATAGATATTCCTGTTTGGGACTGGCAGAACGTACTTGAGCAAGGAGGGAGCAGCCCACACGTGAGAATGTGCCCAGATGCGAAGCAGCCAGCTGGAGTGAAAAGATTTGTTTCTGCACCAATACCCCTCAGCCTTCCCGGCCTCACAGGCCCCTCCAGCCTGTGGGAGCCATGCCATACGTGGTGGTCACAGCATTGCTTTCGTTTACCAAGATGTTCCTTGGAGTCAGTAGAAAGCAAACAGGCATTTTTTCCAGATAATTGGGTCTTCAACATTTGTATTATGCTGCATATGAGGAGGCATTATTTCCTTCCACTCGCTATACAGGTTGACTAGGGTCGGGTATACCCCATTCAAGGGACCCAGAGGCACTTCAGGTCTAGCTCAGCCCTTACTTTTCTTCTTTTTGAAAATACATCCTATGGAGTTTGCGAGGTAAATAGAGTAATTAATACAGTGCCATGGCAGTAACTCAAAATATTTACACGGACAGAAAATGCAAAGTTCTTCTGTCATCACTAACTTCCTGATTTGCTTCTCTTCAGTTTTCTGTGTTATGATTCATAGCATACATGTCTGAGATAACCTGTATTTTTTTACTTTCATATGCTTAATATTCTGTTGTTGCATTTGTTAATGTTGAGGCTGTGCACATGATGGGTGGCTTCTTCCACTTTATCTGATGTCCAGATTTGAAATAGAAGAATACCATTTTAATGTTAAAAACACTCTAGTTTCATTGGCACAAGGAGCAAAAAATTCACCCTCCGTTTTTGCATGTGTTCCTATTTTCAGAACAGGTGCCTTTTTGTCATAAAAATAGCTCAGCTGCTGCCCCTTTGTCCTGCGTGATGTTACGCCATGGCCTTTGCAAAGCCAGGAGGAACTTTTTGGCACGGCCCTCCCTTTCCAGGAGGGACCCAGCTAAGCTTCCTGAGCAACATCAGCCTCCACTAAGAATTCAGGTCAGGATCTCCCTGCTTGTTACCTAGCAACTGGGGGATACTGGTGCTTTCTCCTCTGACCGACTCCTTCCGCGTTAGATACAGGGATCACTTGGTGAAAGGCTCAGGGCAGTGCTAATAACTCGTGCTTTGGGAAGGCAGATAGTAGCCCCGTGCTGGATAACTGATGAGACATAGGGTGCACTATCGAAGTCAAACCAAATCAAGACTTTCAGAATTCTCTGGGGAAATTTGAAAGTACCTCTGCTGGGTTTGCTACCACTTAAATGTTTGGCAAGGTGACAGATCCCTTTTGAAACACCAGTAGCCTTTTGTGGTACATTGAATCTGGCAAACAGGAACCTACGCAGGTAAGCAGCTGAAGGAAGTTTATGTCTGAAGTGTTTTAAAAGTTGTTTTCTGACAGATGAAATGTGTTTCTTGGTTACACAGGTGCACAGCATTCAGTTCTGGGAGTATTGACCAGCCTTTGTACTTACTAAAGTTTCATCGGAGGGTAAGTAAAAAAGTTAAGTGAAAAGATGAACTGTCTTCCCTAGTTCCTTGTGGTGGGTGTTTATAAATTGTTGAAAACAACCTTTACACTTCCCTAGTTAATTTATTATAGAACTGGCTAATGAAAAATCTTTAAGTGATCAAGAGTTATTGGTTGCTGTGCTGTCGCTGCAACTCACTCCTTGTACCATGTTTACAAAATGGAACACAGCAAGTTCCTCTAACTATGTATTGTTTGCAGAGGCCGGCTGTCATTGCCTCTGGCTGGTAACACAGTGGGATTTGTTACTGCTTTTTGTTTTCCTCTGATAGATTACAAGTAGAAGCCCTTTGTCAAATGTAAAAATTAAAGTGGTATGCCATTCTAAGAAAAATACTTACAAAAAAAAAAATTGTCTTCCTTGTGCCTTATCTTCTCTACTCACAGATAGCAGAGATGGTGGGAATTAAACCAGAGTATATTCGTATCTAGTGCTGGCACAGGGCTGGCATAATAGTTTTGTGAAGGACCACTCCTTAAAGAAAATACAGTTTTCATATTTTGAAAAACATGGAAATTAATCTCTCCAGGTGCATACAAGCTATTTAACTTGCCTTTTTCAGAAGTTTATAAGCAGTATGTTCCAGCTCTTCAGCGATATGATTTGGTACAGCTCCAGTTAACTGGAGCAAAGGCCTGCCAAGTGACATCAGCCAAAGATCTGGCTGCACATCTCTTGGACATGTACACTGCAAGCATGCTTACAAGTTTTTTGCGCAGGAGTTTGTAGTGGTGGATTCTGAATAGGGACATAAAAGATCAGATTATTTTTAAGCAATATATTTTAATTATCTCTAATATGAAGCTGTTTAATTTGAGTACTGACTTGAAGGCATTCAGAAGCTGATTTCTTCAGAGGGACTAAGTGCAGTTTCAATTGATATTTTCCACATTTAGTATTCAGAAAAACAATTCCAAGAGTCTCACATTGCATACCTGATACAGCAGCTGCTTTTCAAAGTGTGCCAGTCCAATCTGGTTTTTGTCTCTATCATACATATGGGAGATACTTACGGGAGAGCTCATACATTCATTCCTAGGACTTACAAGGTATGTGTCCACTTAAGACGAGAGAAAAAATATGTATCAGGGCAGTATCTTCATGCAGTTCAGGATGTTCTTTATTACAAAAAGCTCTCCGAAGTGTGTAACTTCATACTACTGTGTGGTTAGGTGATGTAGGACAGAGAAGGAAAAATATCTGTTTGAGGAGGTGCTTCACATTTCATTTAATTGTTCCAGTCTCAAGGTCAACAGCTTTCAGGAGGCAGTTAACAGCAGAAACCTCTTTAGGAGCTTTGATCTAGCTGTTTTAGTAAAACAGCACCTTCGTAGGATAGGTGGGACACAAGAGATTAAGTCACCCAGCAGTTCCTGATCTTTCCTCTTTTCACAAAGCCTGATAGTGTCCTCTTAATAATGCTTTTCTGACAGAGCTGGGAGCTCTGTTAGACATATCATTCCCTACCTCTTGCTGTGACTCACAAATATTTTTAAAAATATTGAAAGGAAGGAGGCCTCTAAGCAAAGAAGGTCAGAATTTCCTCAAGCCTGACCTAGTGCATTTGCCAACTGCATGTGAAAGGCTAAATATTTTCATGTTATACCTACATCAGAGACACTCTGCAGATACACAGATGGCTGGGCCCTTGTAAATCCAGCCAAAGGAGCGTATGCCGGCACTTCGGGATTTGAAAAGAAGCTGGAATGGGTCCTGTAGTCTAGTTTTGGCAGCCAGCATCAGCATCTGGGTGCTTGGACATAGAAAAGAGCCAAATCTGGGGAGGTTATTGGAACATTGTCCTTCAATTGAACAGCATTTCTTGATAATAAATAGCTCAAACATGTCCTTGGACTCTGCAGTAGAGAGCAGACTAGAGGAAGCAGGTAAAGGCTTTCCTCGGTGTTTGTCTGCCAACATATGCAAGCTTAACTAGGAGCTAGGGAGCTTAAATCCAAGAGTGACTTTTGTGTCATCTAGCTATTGAGGCTGCCTGGGATCCAGTGTCCAGTTCTGGACATCTGACTGCCAGAAGAGATGAGCTCAGAGTAGGATGGGTGCAAAGATGGATAAGTAAGATGGCCAGGGTAATAGAGAGCTTATCTCTGTGAGGAAATTAAGGTGCCATGCCTTGTTTGGCTTTGCAGATCAAGGCTGAAAGGGGAGATGGCCATCTTCTCTAAATACCTGTGGCAGAACAGAAAAGCTGTTTCAAAGAAAGTATTGCATTGACACAAAAATAAACAGGTCTAGACTGGTCATTTAGTCTGGGAATTTCTAACACGTAAGAGTTACAAAGTTCTTGAATAGCATTTGAATTTGAATAATTTTCAGAATCAGACTTTAATCAGCCTGTGAAGGGATTATATGGAGTGTTTGCCAGCAACAACGGAGGATTCAATGCTCTGTTCCCAAATTTTATCCTGAAACACCTATATGAAGCTCAAAGATGTAAGTGCACCAAAATATGCTGCTCCTCAGGAGAGTTTACCGTATGAGAGAACTGAAAAAGTCCAGGCCATACATGGAGTCCCTGCACTAGGAAGGGGCTGATAGGTGGGATGCATATGATAGTGATAGATCGTGCAAAAACACAGAGGTAAAGAGCCTTTGTGGGCAAAATAATTCATCACTGCCTTTGGACCTGCCCAAGGGATCAGAAAAGGCCGAGAAATGCTGGGACACTTCAAAGGTGCTGTGAGATTGGTCACTTTGGACATGAGTTTTAATTTGTTGCTGTAACTAGTTCTGTGCACACAGGTTTTTCACCTGCCTCCCTGGGAAAGCAAGCAAAGCATAGCAGTTTGAAGCAGGGAGTTCCCTCCCCAAGAGTGGTGGGATGACCCTGGAGGTCTGTGCCATGCCTGAGAGACAAGGTTGCTCCTAAATGAAACCTCTTCCCTGGTTTTACTCTGCATCATCTGCCTTGGTAGGAATCAAGGCAGACTCACAGGAGGTGGGAGGAAAGCCCACGCAAGCAGCTTTTGTTTGCATAGCTTTGCTTTCTGAGCTTTGATTAGGAATAGTGCTCTGCTACCCTCTCTCCCAGTGGTGTCCCTTTCACTCCCCATGGGGAGATTATGTGCTTCTCTGTTCCACTTCCTACGTCTGGGCTCCTTCTAGTGTTTGAATGCCAATGCCATTTAATCTGTGAATGCTGCAGTACGTTTTGTTGTGCTCATTTAAATCAGGCATTGTACAGGCACAAGTAAAGGTGATGGCAGATGAGTGCTCTTTATGTCATGCTGGATTTCTGCTGCACTCTTGCACTATATCTGCCAAATTACAGGCAGGACATTTTTGAATTAATGACAAATATTTCCCAACAGTAGTTAGTTAAGTGCCTGCACATGTTAAATTAACCATAATAATCTTGTCATAGTCATGAATTAATAACCTGCATCTCATCAGGCATTTGAGAATTGAAGTAAAACATTTGTGGTATATTCAAAGAAGGGAGCCTGGGGACAAGTGTGATAAGTCTTCAAATGGCTCTACATTCCCATCGCCACCATTCTACCCCCCATGCCAAGTAAGCCCCAAAGGCTATACAGGAACCTGAAAATCATGTTTAGGAGGGGCAGAAAGGAAGAGATGCCCTCTGCACATGGGTGTCTCTTGGAGTAAAGTGATTTAGACTTATTAATTCCTGAAGTGTCTTCCTCTTTCCATTGCCTAGAGGGAGGTGCAGCCAGGGACAAATGTGCACATGATCGCTTTCTGCCAGAGATCTTAAACCAGTGAGGAGTTTTACAAGGAAAATGCTGCTCAGGTCAGAGGAGGATAGGGAGAACTTCTGTCCCAGTGGCAGAAATGAGAAGACGACTGAGGGCGAGTGTCGATGTGGGAGAAGGGAGACATTTCTCCCAGTGTATTCCCCACCAGTGGTCTATGGAACCCCTTCCTGGGGAGACCCAGGGAGCATGATCGAGTTCCCTTTACCTCCTACATTTCACTACATCACAGGGTGCCATGGGGATCTGGCCCTAGACCAGAGAGGGCACCTCAGTCTGTGCCATTGGCTCCAGCAAAGCTCAGCCTGGAGCTGAGCGCTGCTTCTGCATGGCAGACTGTCTGGTCCCTACTCTGAGACATGCTGCTTGAAGAACATTAGGAAAAGCATTTAATCTCTCTTATGCGGACAGATTTCGGGAGTTGGAACTTACTTAGTCTAGAGAAGAGAAGACTGAGAGGGGATCTCATTAATGCATATAAATATCTCAAAGGTGGGTGTCAAGATGATGGTGCCAGACTCTTTTTGGTGGTGCCCAGCAACAGGACAAGGAGCAGTGGCCATAAACTAAAACACAAGAAGTTTCACCTCAATATGAGGAAGAACTTCTTTACGTTTGAGGGTGGCAGAGCACTGGAACAGGCTGCCCAGGGAGGTCGTTGAATCTCCCTCTCTGGAGACTTTCAAAACCCACCCACCTGGACATGTTCCTGCGTCACCTGCTCTACGTGACCCCGCCTTGCTGGGGGGATTGGACCAGAGGTCCCTTCCAACCCTAATAATTCCGTGATTCCATGAAATGCTTTCTATTTCCCAGTCCAAGGGAATGAGTGGGCTCGTGCAGGTGGTGTAGGGTGCACTGGAGACTTGGCTCTAGATTTCTGTTGAGGTGGCAGTAAAAACTGTTAAGCTGCATTCAGGGTTTTGACTTCCAAAAGTCTGTAAGTCTGAAGTGGCAGCTGGAGGTTATACATGCAGAATGACTTGTCAGAGGTTATATTTGCTGAGATTATTGCTGCAGGGAAGGAGCAAAGGAGAAAACAAGAATCTGAGCAAGTGGCAGTTATTTCCATTTGCTTATATCCTTGCTTTGCAGCACAGATTGTGGTTTGGAGCACAGACCTGCAAGTATATGAGGAGACAAAAGCTACAAAGTATTTTCTGTCTTTCAAACACATGACAACAAATATGTCCTGAGTGGATAGTAAGAATTAAAAGTTTGGAAGT